TTTGAGTGCTCAGCTCCCTCCTGGGGAGAGCACTTGGCTGCCTGGCTAGAAGTCCACATGACAGTCACTGCTCCCACCCATGAGACTGCTACACCAACATCCTCCTTTTGCTCAGTCATAGGTAGTTACAGAGTCCTTTGTCACTCATTTATTTACCATCTGGCATTCCCATGTCATCTTTTGCAGCCTGTCACAGTTACGATGCTGCTTTTCATTATTGTCATGTCATACTTGGTACCGGGAGGAGTCATGACTTTGCGGTTGCACATTTTTTGGGGTGTGTTCCTTATCTCTCAGGACTTGGCAGCCAGTTGTTTTTGAGAGACAGAAGTCCTTTTAGCCTGGGCTTTGACCTAAGGTGCTGGTCCTCCCAACCTGTGCTTGGATATTAAGGTGCCAGCTCCACCATGTTACCTTTTTGAGGGCTAGGTTTAGTTTTCTTTGAAAAGCCAGCAGTGATACTGAAAATGCTGAAAAAGCCTCATGGCATTTTCACACCAGGGAAGGTACCTGGGGTTGCTGCACAGGAGAGTTGGCAAATGTAACAGAGTCCCCAATACACCCAGTGGAGGCTGGGGAGTACAGGGGCTGGTGGCCACTGAGGACCTGCAGGATTTTTCCCAACTGGTGGGGGTAGGAAGTTCCCAGGTACAAAAGGTCATGAATAAAAACCAGGAAAGTGCTGCCTTAGGAAGCCTTTACTTCCCTCTGCCTGCCTGGGATTCTCCAGCGTAAGAGAGGAATAGGCTTCTCGGGTGTTTTAAAACAATTGGAGTGACGAGGAATAATGATGTGTTTGGAGGGAACTGTTTTCTTAGCTGCTTTTAAATTGGCAGCTTCTCTTTCTTTAGAGTTGGAGCATCCTTGCAATTTTACTGTTGCTAAAGCAGTTTTCACAGGATGCCCCTCCTCTACGTATCTGCCGGCATCTTGTCTGTGTGCCTGGCGGTGATGTAGAGAGGATGAGGTGGTTTGGGAAATACTGCTCAAAGCAAACACAAGTTTCAAAATCCACAGTTAATCAGATACAGGGAAAAAAAAAGTGTTGGTCTCTGTGAAGGATTTTGCTTTCAACCCTAAGTATGCTTGAAGTGCCTTAAATTCCGTTTGCTTCCTTCGTTATCCTGGATCTTAGCCATATCTGTAAGTACCTTACTTTCATGTTTTACCTCATTTTTACATGTTTACTCTCTGTACAATGGTCCAGAGGAGCATGCAAACACTCAGTGCATGTCCAAGCCAGGAGAGGAGTGTCACAATATATTATTTATGCTGAAAAGAGCTTGTACATGGGGATGATCTTAGCTCTGGCCCCATCTCTTCTCCAGCAGCAAATCAGAGCACTGAGTTGGTGGATTTAAAGTTAATCTCCTGAAATGTGAACTCCTTTTTGCTTGCTCTGTTCTTGCTTCCTGGGGAGAAGTGGAAGGTCTTGTTCTCACCTCAAAGAACTCAAGGGTGAGTGCTTTCAGCCTCGGGGTGTACAGCCCTAAGGTGCATGTGGTCACTGGGCACCAGACACCCTTTGCCAGCTGGCCCCAATTTCCCGCTGAGCCCTATGCACCTCTCCCACAAAATTTCTAGGGGACATAAATCTAGGGTTCTTCTAAAAGAAAAATGATCCACAAACCCCTGTCTGTACCCTCTTCCCTGTTTGGGTGGAAATACGTTGTTGAGTGCATGTTTTGCATTTTTAATTTCTTTATGGTATCCTCTTCCTTCCCTCTTCCCCTACCTGCCTGTTCCCACCCTGGCATCCCTTTGGAGGGCTCTGTCTGCATCCTAGCAGGGACCCTACTGTGGCAGGGTGCTTGCAGGACAAGGAGAGATAAGGAACTCTCCATCTGCAGGGAAAGCACTATTGTGATGCTTGATGGAGTGAGGGATCTGCTTTGAAATGTGTTCCTGAATATGAAGCACTCAGTGAAGAGTGTTTGAGGTACTTTGCAAGGAGATATTTGTGTTTTTAACACAAGGGCTGCTGCATCCCAAAATTGGTGGTGATGTAAACAGTATGGAATACTGTATGGCAAAGGATTTGTGGCTGTTTGCAGGATGCTTTACTTTCAGAAGGTAGCAGACAGCAAGAGGGGATGGGAATTACCACATGGCCTCTACTACACTTTGAACTCTAGATGTTTTGTGTGCAGCGCTATGAGATGTAGTTTGCTGCATTTTGGACACGGTGCATTTGCACAGGAAAGCTGAATTTGTACCTGAGTCTTCTTTTTATATTGATTTCTGCAGCCAAGGTTTGAATTTGATCCTGTTTTTGAGTTAGCTGCCTTGGTCTGGAGACATCCTTTCCTCTTTGCCTCTCACTAGCACAAGCAGTAGGACCACTGCTCGTGTTTTCATCTAATATGCTTCAGTTATTTTATTTTATGTTGGTTTTTAATCTGCCTGCATTGTGTTCATCCCTGTGTAGATAGGGGTTTTATTTGTTCCTTCTCACTCTTGTCCTGACCCTTTTACTGAATCTCAGGGTGGGAAGCTGCCACGTGTTGCAAGATCATTGTTTGGGTTGTGCATCAGGGCACTGCAGTAACATCTTCTCAAGAGTTCCCGTGAGGAGCTTCTGGCACAGGTTGACTGAGAGACCCTTCTTCTGCTCAAGTTCATGAATGCACAGCAGCAGAGAAAGACTGTGATTTACCACCCTTTATTATTGGTCTTTCACAACCTACAGATACCTTAAAACACTCTTCACCTTTTGCTGTGGCCATGTGGCTTGTTTGGGGTTGCAGCTTGATTAATTTTTGGTTAGTGTATGAATGGCCCTTGTCCCTTTGCTGTGTTACAAAATCAGTTAAAAAGTACTCTTAGGGTTGAAAACAGAAAATGTAACACACACTTAGCACTGAAAGTTTTACATTGTTGCTAGAGGACAAGGTAAAATAACTTTTTTCTTTTTTTCTTAAATGAAACAGGCAGCTAGTCGGAAGTTGAAGAAACATTTGAGGTTGGATGAGGTTTTTTGGTCTTTAAACGTTTTGTTTTGTTTTACTTGTCTGTGGTTTTAAAATGTCCATTCTTAAATTATGTAAAATAGATGGTATGAGAGTGAGGAAACATCCCAATACACATTTGGATTTGGAAGGGTTCTTCATATGTTAAGTTTTATCCTTAATGTGATTTAAATAGTTCAAGGTATTTAGGTCTTTAAATCAAGGTTTATAATGACTTTAAGATGCTTCCAACTTAAAGCATGAAGGAGTGTTACATGCTGTGGGTTTTAAAAAGAAGCACTGTACATTCATTGGTAATTATGTACTTTACTATGAAGTCTGAGTAGTGATTTTTTTTTCGAAAGCATGGTTGGCAAATTATAGTTTTTAATCAAATTACAGGATAAAATAATTACTTGAAATTTAATGTAATAAATTTATTTTATAGGTCTTAGTACAGTAAGGATCTACTTAGGTCCCCTTTGATCTGCACTGAAGGTAGCAGGCAGAGTCTTGTTGGAAGGTGAGCAAAGCAAAGGACCAGTTTTGTCAAAAACCAAAGGACAATTATCCCAGGAGGTGCTTGTAGGAAACCTACTGCTTAGGTGAGAGTGCGGTGTTGATAGGGAAGGTTTTTGTCTCTTCAGTGAGAACCTGCAGATAGATCAGGCAAATCATTATTTAACAGAGGGTCCAGTGGTGCAGTTGCCTTTGACTCCTGCACTGCTAAACATCTCTGGTATGGAGGGTGGAATTAAGATTGTAACTTTGAAAGTAAGCTTTTCTTTTCCTTTTCCTCTTCCTCTTCCCATTGCATGCAAGGCTCTTAACTGCCAGCTCTGAATGGCTGGAACAGATGAACTTTTGCACTCTATGCTAAGGACACTTACATAAAAGGGATATACTCAGATTGCATCCAAACCCCACTCAGTTTTCTGTGGGAGGAGATGGGTCTGTGCTGTCCCTGTCCATGTGGGGGTCTTCAGGGAGCCTCTCTGCTACCCATCCTTTTCTTTTTTTTGTGCAGACACCTATCAGAAAACCACAGGAAAAGCTTAATCTGTGACAAGCCAGATGTGATGTGAGCTGAAATCCAGGAGACTGATTATTCCTGGGGCCAGCAGGACCAACGCAAACACTTTAGTGCTTTTGACTTGTGAGATTGAATTCCTGCATGCACTGGAAAGAGGGGTCAGACTAACCACTCTCCACAGCACCAGTGATGGGTGTCTCTCCTCCACACCCTGTCTGTTTTCATTAGACTAGTAGAAAGTTACTGTACTGGGATTGTTAGGCCCACATACGCATGAATGTGGAGGCAGATGGAAACAAACCTCACAAATCCCTTAAAATCAGGGATAAAAAGATGGAAATTGAGTTTGGCGGTGTCCAAAGTTATACCAAATTCTTCTTGCCATCCCTGTTCATTTTGCTCCTGCACAGGCTGTAGGGCTGGAGTTGCTCCCAGCAGCCTGGCCGGTGGCACCCTTCCTCAGTAAAGCTCCTGACAAGTGGAGTTGCCAAAAGGTGACGTGCTTTCCCAACTGCAAACGTACAGACAAGGGGATGTCAGTTCAGAGGTATGAAAAAGTCCAGCAAAAATACCTTTTCACCAGAGTCCTCTCTGCATATGAGGCTGAAATCACAGAAACTGTTCCTTGAACTTGCCTGCCCGGTTATATTGTGAATTTGGCTTTCAGGGTGCAGCTTTGAACAAGCAGTTGAGACCTTTAAAAGACCCAAACCCACACTCCTTTTACTGGCATTGTTACATATGTATGACTAGAGGGTGCACACAGGCACCTGCCCATTGGCATTGCATGGTCCTACCTGGGTAAGTATTTGGAACATTTCACCTGTGTTTAAGTGAGATGCAGCACTAAGGCCTTTTCACTCACACAGATGTGCCCAGAGTATCAGGACAGTCTGTTCAGACCATCTGCAGCAGTCTCCATCCCTGCTGGGTGACAGCAGCAGGGCAGGGGCGTTGCATGTGGTTCTGCTGGAGGTCCTGTGATCAGCTCCTGGGTCTTGCTGTGACGGGGAGAATTTGTTAAAAGGATGAAGCCATTCCTTTGCATTATCACATTGTAGCGAATGGGCAAACACTACTGTTCTCATCTTGCCTTTACCTATGAGATCACCAGCAGCTGCTTCATTAACTATTAATGGCCTGCTCATTAATGCTGTAAAAGGCAAGGACCAATCTTGCAGATTTTCTGGACTCTTCCCCTGAAATATTTATGACTTGCTCACTGTGCAAAAGGGCAAGAGCAACAGCAGAGAACATGCCTCCAAGTTTTGTTGAGCATTATTAAAGAACTCATGAATATGAAGAAGCTGACAGCTTCTATCTGTTTTTTGGTTTTCCACGCCAGCACTGCACATCTGGCTCTAGGGGTTGAGTGGGTTGGTGGTTTGCTAAAGTATTGGTGACAGTCTTGAATGCTTTATTGATGATCTGTAGTTCCTGTAGTGCCTTCCTTTGCATCCTCCTCTACAAGCACCAAGGTGTAATTGATACCTCCAGGGGAGGTTACCAGGGGAGGTTTTGCTTAAGAGATGGGGAAACTGAGGCACAAAAATTGAACAATTTGCCTGGAACCAAGCAATAGAAAGCCAGAAGAGAATGGAAATGTTTTACGCAAAACTGTAATGCTTCTTTTGAAGTCTGGTTAGTGTGAAAGAGGGGGACGCTCGCCAAGCCTCCTCTGAAGCCATTGCTACAAGCATTCCAAACAGATCTCCTACATGATTGCAGAGAGCAGCACTGAGTAGTGCTTTCCCTGGGAATGTGCGAGTGCTTTTAGCTCCCTTCAGTACCAAGAAGCACCAGGGAAGCCATTTTTGCCTTCTATCCAGATTTTGGAGATAAAACTGTGCTCTTCTCATTGCTTATATATACCAACAATAAAGAGTCTGTCCACTAAATCCCAACTGCAGCTCATCTGCTGGTGCACAGGCAGATTAAAATCTGTATTTCTTTCCCACAACCATCTGCAGAGCAAACACTAGTGTAAATACATGTGGGAGGCATTTTTTGGTAATGTAGAGAGATATGCTTTAAAGAGAACAGGTATGACTCCAGGAGTCTGTACAGACTGGTCTGTACAGTGCTTCGCATCTCTTCCTTATGCAGGGTGGCCTTCAGAGTAAGAAAGCTCTTCTGTATTTGGAAGATGCAGGGTGTGTCAGGAATAACCAGCCTTCAATACTGTTTGAGCTTCTGGGCTTGCATGTAGTGCCCAGGTGAAACCAGGTGGCAAAACAAATCCATATTGGAAACATTCCCTGGTACAACTTTCTCATTATTTCTTACAGAGTGTGAATATTTTATCCCACATTATATCACGTTGCAAGGGATGCTTGCTTTCCCTCCTGGAGTGATTCCTTTTAGCTGCTGAAGGAAAGTTACAGTGGATCCAGGATAGAAGTTCAAAGCCCTTCACTGAAGTAGTGTTTAAGGGTTTTTCTTAACATCTTGATTTCACACTGCTGTAACAAGTGAATGTGGTAGCCACAGCTTAGTGGTAGAACATGGTCATGTTGTGCCCTACATGACTACAGCAGGCCCTGGTGGGACTCCATTGTCATGCTGATCTCCAGGAATATTCCAGAAGTGTACTGAATGCCATCTGGTTTTGCCCTCAAACCTACAGTAAGTGTTTCTGGGGAAGACTTCTGGGACTCTACTGCTACAAGAATAGCATCCAGATCTTGAGTGACTCTTGTCATTCTTTACTGAAGCAATTCCTCCAAAAGCTGGAAAAGGGGTAAATGCAAGAATTGAGTCCCTGTCTATTGACTGGTGCAGCTCTAGTTCTAGAGACAGATGCACTGGAGGCTGCAGAGCAGATCGTTGGTGTTTTTTAGTTACCAATGGTGCTGTTACCTCTCCATCTGTAGAGCTGCTCTCTTCGTCATGGAAGGCCTGCCCCTCATCTCAGCAACCACAAAGTTCCACCTAAGTTTTGGGACCCCTTTCCTAACTTCTTCCTTGGTAGTTAGGAGGAGTCTGCCACCCAAAACAGACCCTGTTCCTCCTCTCTGAATTTGAGGTTGAATCACAGGTGAGAGATATTATAAAATCTCTGTTCCTTACCAGAGAGAAGATCAGTATAATTCAAAATGTTGGGGGTTGTGTCTTATCACTGGCAAAGGCATCAATGATCAAGTATCAATTATGTGAGTAAACACAGTGATAATTAACAGTGTCAGTAAGTAGAAACTTACTGTATCCTGTGAAATAACTGTAAAAAGGAGGGGTTCTCTGTCAAAACATCAACTTTCAGTTCTTGGTATCATAACATGAACTAAGTCAGCAGCTGGCAGCAGCGGAGTTCCAGGTGTGTCTTCTGCAAGCTGCTCAGCTGCGAGTTACACCTCTAAGGAAAAAGCATGTCTGTGTGCAGTCTTGTGCAGATTCCTGATTGCAACACTTTGGGACTGAGAACTGGACCTTGCTTTAAAAGATGCTCCAACTCATTATTCATTTTCGTTTTCTGGCAGAGTAGTCGTGTCTTGTCAAATGATTGTTCACATTCATGAATAGTGGTTTCTGAAGTCTAGCCCTTAAAGTGATGTCTTGGCATCTAAGTGATCCATGGGGTACTGGTAGTTCACTAGGACCTGTGGGTCTCCAGCATTTTTGTTAGAAACAAGCTGTTTATTAGCTATATCTATGTTTGCCTGTGCCCTCAGGGGTGGTACACAGGCTTAGAAGAAGTGTTAGCTTAAATTTTCACTTGTGTTTAGACTAGTGGGTACTCCAGCCAGCAGACAGTTTGGTTCATGGTAAATTCTGATTCAGGAAAATGTTATACAAGCCTAAAATTAAGAGGAAAAAAGGGCAAAACTGGCTAATGGGAAGAAATGGAGGAACAGATCAGCCAGCCAAATAAAATGGCTCCTGGTTGAGTTTGGGATGAAGCTAAGGGACCTGCCAAACCTTGCCTTTTGAGAAGAGTCTAATCATCCTTTGAGATGTGTTAATTTCCCATTTTTACCATGGGTGCTGTTTATGCATTGTGCTTGCCTTGGCTTAAGGAGTGAAAATTGCCCTTTTGACTGCCCTGCACATGGAGGTGGATTCTTCTGCACAAATGTGACATGACAGACCCCAAAACAGTGCTCATCTAGAGTTTTTGTATCAATGAAAACTGTCCTGTCGGGATTTTAATAAAACCATTTATTTCATGGCATCAGCTTCTTGGCTCTTAGTTGACAGCACCCAGTGGTCCCTGCCTCCAGCGGAGCAGCTCTGGAAAGGCACAAAGACTGGATTTTGTGTTATGACACAGGCTGTACTGTATGCTGGGAAGTTAGCTTGCATCCTGCCTTCTGCTGAAAATAGCTTGGGGTTAAGCCGTGCCTACACTACAGACCTCTGCCAGCAAATCTGTACTGGCCAAACGAGTGGAGAGGTCCCTGAGTGGTGTTGCTGTTCTGGCACAGCCCTGAGGCACAGTGTGGGTGCACTGGGGAAGCCACCCCTTCTCTGGCCTGTAAGGGACTTGTGCTGGGCTCTTGTAGACCAGGGCTCTGCCGCAACAGCCCTGTCTGCCGTGTAGCATTTTGACAAGGTTATGTGGGCGTTCATCTGCTGCTGGGGTGTTTCTGGGGTCTTGGTTCCTGTAAATTTCTAGTGATGTGTTTTCAGATCCTCCTGAGTAAAACAGAGGTGAAAGACGCATTTTAATGTTGCAGGTCTGCTCTCATCCTCCTCCTTTGTGGGGTGGTTCTGGTGTTTCCACTGCGCTCCGGAGCAGGGCACAGTAGCTGTTATTCGAGCTGCGTGCCATCCAGTGCTGTATAATGTTGCGAGATGCAAAAATAAAAAGTGGAAAAATATGCAGACAGAGGAAACAAAGCACAACTTTAGCTCTTGGACAGAACAACCCCCTTCCCTCTTCCTACCTCAGCTTCACCCTTGGAGTCTTGAAAGATGGGTAGCTGTTGGATTTTTACTACCTACTCAGTCTTTCCACACTGACTTTTAATCCTTGGCTCCCTTCAAGAGATTATGTTGTTACACTGCTACTACAGGTCCTTTGATGAAATGTTGCTCTTCTCTTCCTCCCCAGCCTTTTAGAGTTACACATTTCTTTGCTCGAGGAAAACACCTCAAGGTTATCCCCAGCCTAATTGGAGAAGCAGAGAAGAGAGTGGTTTATTGGTGCTTATTTAATCCCATCTTTCTTCAAATACAAGGACCTGGTATCCTTTTGGGTATTTTCCATCCCAGTATTTGTTACAAGAATTAAGTGAAGAAGCTCTGAGGAATAAAAATGGTTTACACAAGGATGGGTGGGAAATTAAAACCTCCTCTGCCATAGCCTGTCTGGGACTATACCCTCTTGCCCTCTCCTTTTCCTCTGGTGCACCCATGTCCCTGGGCTTTGAGTTGCTTCCTGAATGGCTCAGCTTCTCAATACAGTATGGGACCAATGATTTCCAAACAAGTGCCTAAGTATGTGCCACCTGAGTGCCACAGATGGCAAAGACCACATCAGACCTGCAGGTCTCTTACTTATTTGTTTGCTTGTATGTTGAAAGTCACCCTTTGGCAAAACTAGTGCAATAATTTGATCTATTGGAATTTCCCAGTTAAGTCTCAGATAAGATAAAGGTCTATTGTGATGTGATTATCAACAAGAAATCATGAAGATCACGAAGTGGGCTTCCATTAGGAGTGTGAGTTTGACTGCTTGAAGCCGATACACAGCAAGTGTGTGATTTCGGCTTGGTTTTCTCCCAGAATGAGAATGGGAAGTGTCTCATCTTTTGTAACAGTCTTGACCACTCCCCTTCCCCCAGTGAAACTTGGCATTTTTTCTTCCTGCAAAAGGGACCTAGAAAATTATTTTGCTAGAGCAGGGTCCCCAGTTAAGATGCAGACATGATATGGAGAAGCTGAGCATGAAGTGTTACTACTCTCCAGCGAGTTTCATATATATATGTATGTGCATATATACACCTCCCAATTCTCTTAATAGCCGTGGATCTCAAGGATGTCCGACTTCCAAGAGCATGAAGCTCTCACATTTAGCCTGTTGCAATAGGTAACAGGAGATGCAACCTTAGTATCATTTCCCTTTCTCATTCCCCCTGTTCCACACTCTCCCTGCAGCCACGAAATCACAGTTACTGTAGGAATTCACACTGGTGTCCCAATGTTCAAAACCAACACTTGCTATTTTTACCTGTTACTTGGGGTTTATTTTTGTGGTTTTTGGAAGCAAAATGCTAAAGACAAATAAACAAGTCAATAAGCAAAGTATTTAAATGACTGTGCAGTCCTTATAACTGATATCAGGGCAAAGGAATGCAAACAGGCCAGTCTGTGGCTTCATGCCTTTAGCTCCTGTCCCTCTGTTTTGTTTTTAATTTTGAGCACAGGAAGGGGCCACTATGTGACCATATGCTTACAAAATGCTGGTTACAAATGTCTTCCAAACAATGTTGGCATAGTAATGATATGTCATGTATGTGTCATGTTTTGTCATGCTATAAATGTGCCTGTTTGACTCCAAACCTTACTGTGTTTCCTTCTCCTGTTCCTCAGCGTAGGTAAAAATAATTGTTTCCAAACAACTTCATGCTTCTGTTCTGAATAAATTGGATTTCACTTCATTCAGTGCCAGTGGGAATTTCAAACCCTGGGAAATTTGCAAGCATATTGCAGGGAAAATGTTAAGCATTTGCTTAAGCATCATTGATATTGATCTGTTAAGTCTGTTCTTAAACATTAGGAGCTATTGCCTCTTTCCAAACATTGGTCTTACTGGAGGGCTAAAAAAGAAGGACAGTTGCTCTCCACTTGCAAGGCCCTAAAGATGGAATTGCACCTGGAGGGAAGAAATAGTCAGCAGAAGTTGATGCCGATATTGCTGTGAACATTATCTTCGTCATACCTTTTTGTTTTCCAGAGATAAGATCCTTTCAGCATGATCTAAGATTCCTTCAGTTTTCAAATGTTGGGTTTGTTTTTTTTTCTCCCCTTGTGATTTGTTTTCCCTTATTTTTCTTGTCATGTAATCGCCTTTTCAGGTTTAACAAGGTTTTGAAGTTAACACTACTTTGAGGCAGTGATATGTAGGCCAAAGAGGTTCGCACCTCTTTGGTGTGAGCAAGTTCGTGTGATATTTGTGGTGGGAGGTCTTGTGATGAGAGTGCGGAGGAGCAGGGACTCAAGTCTCCTAGATCCAGATTCAGTATCTGTGGCTTTCCCTCCTGCGAGCATTTGGCAAATGAGAGATGAGTGCAGGCTCCATGTAACCATCTTTAAAATAGATATCCCTTGGGGAGAGTATCGATTAATTAACATTTCAGAAGCGCTTTGAGTTTCTTTGATAGGTATTGCAGAAATGCAAGAGAGGTTTTTTTCTCTTGCTAGACACAGGCTGTCTAAAGGATGAATTTTAATGATGTTGGTTTACTTGGTAAGTGCTCTTTTTCAAATGGAAGGCTATTTAGCTTCTTTTGTATGTACCAATATGGTATTTTACTGCAAATTTAAACCAAATAAAATATACAGCATCTGTACCAAGACTGGATTTGGTACCCTCACATCATGAAAGCTCATGCTGATAATTTGCCAGTAGCCTCAGGTCTTTGATAGTAATTTGGCAGATGCTATACTGAACCTAATTTGCATCTGTATTTACATAAATGCTTTAATTAAAATTATATGCACCAACCTGAGATAGATGAACAGCACTGCCTGCTATTTGTTTACATTCCCTGACAACAAAACCCTGCCTTGGCTGCTTCTTGCTGATTGTATGACTTGACAAGACTGTTTGAGGTGGGGACTAGAAACCTGACAGGTTTCTAGTTAGACTCTGCTGCAAACTGCTGAGGAGCAACATGAAGCTTCCAGGACAAAATTCTGCCTGTATTTTAGCAGCAGAGGAGATCTGAGCAACTTGATTCAAGGGGTCAGATTTGTGTGTATCCAGTCCTAAAGCTCTAGCTTTAAGGTAGTTCTGTGCAGTCAGGATTTATAGTTCCTTGCACACGGTATCTGCTTTGTCACACATCCAAAATGTGAAACCCCACTGAGGACAGTAGAAACACATTTTAAATACAGCTTCCATCAAGAGAAAATTTCTGAGGGCTGTTCATCTTTGAACAGAGCATTACAGAGCTCCTTGTAGGATAGAGTGCTCTAGGGGATTTTGGGGCGCAAATGGGGTCCTGATTGTTTCAGTGGGACATGTGAGAGCGTATGGCTGAGTTTGGATGAAGGTAGTGAAGACTCTGGATCTGTTTTTGCTTAGACCACACATTTCATTTGGAAAACACAGTCATATAAATACAAATTAAATCCAAACTCTGCAGTCTGCCTTTGGACAGTGGAGGTTGATGTTGCTGCGCTGCTTCCCCGTTATTTGGAACTTGTCACAGTGTTGCAAAGAAAGGAGATCCAGTGGCAAAGTTATGACTGATTTCACAGACTGCTTTGAAGATACATGAAGGACAGGCTAAAAAGAGCTGTAACTACCCTGCCTGATCTGGAGGGTTGCTGAGCTTTGTCTAAAGTTGTTTACTTAACTTGCATTAGAGGAAATAGTTCAGAGCTGCTGTTTCCTTCGCTGAGAGGTCATGCATATGTTGAGGATTGGAATTGAGGTTTGTTTTAATAATAATTAATAAATAATTAAAGCTTTCTTCCAACCCAAACTATTCTGTGATTCTGTATAAATTTGGGCATTACCACTCATTTTCTTCAGTGACTTCTGACTATATTTGCCTGTAGTCTTTTCTGAATCTATTTTGAGAGACACATTCATACTTTAACTTTCAGTTAAATGCACATTCGTACATTAATATTCATACATTAACCCGTTTGCCTGATAGCTTTGTTGAAGATGATAACCTGTCCCCCATATTATGACCTGCTGTGGGAGGGATGGCCAAAAACCTGTTTGCTGAAGTCCACCTGAAAGAGCACAGGCAAAAAAGCGTCTACATTTGTGGCAAAGTGGCCTAAATATTTAACTTGGGAGGTGTTGGTCAGCAGGCTGGAATGCAGGCTCGGGGGTGTGGGGTGAGTGGCAGTCCAGAGTGACGGTGTCGATGGGAGCTGCAGCTGGAGCCCTCCCAGCGCCACAGCCCTCAGCCTGGTACAGGAATGCCGGGGCATCATCTGCCAGCAGCTGGGGTCTGCTGGGGTCATAGCCAAGCAGCACTTTGCATTGCTGGGAAATGGTGGTCTTGGTCAAGTAGTGGGCATGACAAAGCCAGATTTACAGTCTTGCAAAGCCACAGCCTTAATTTAAACTGACATAACATAAATAAATCCAAACTATTAGTCTTGCTTTGTCTCGTCCATAATAAGAGGATGAATACATTTCCCATATTAAATTCATTATGTCATGGGGGTGCTCTGATACTTGAGGAAGGTGGGAAAGTCAGCTGAAGGGAAGCAGCCCTTGTTTCCCCTGATGTGAGGGAGAGGAGGGGAAGGTACTTGCTGGTTAATTTTCAATGTGAGGCGAGTGGATGAAGGGAAGAAAAACATTCCCCCAGGGAAAGTGTCCTGTTATGGTGGGATATTTGTGTTGAAATCTGCTCTGCAGTTGCCTCCTCCATTGGCCAGCTGTCCTGGCTCAGCCCTCCACTTTCCCCTCAGACATCTGTGCTGCATCTCCCAGCAAGGGAGGAAGCAGCATGGTGGCTGGTGGGCAGGAGCCCCAGAAAGTTCCTCACTTCAACACTGAAACAGCTGCTGGTTTGAATTTGGATCAATGTTCAAGGTGTTGGTACCTCTGCTGGTGCCCAGTTTGGTACCTCTGGCTTTCCCAATGGGAGCTCTTGGTGTGTTGTGAGGTCAGAGAGCAAGCCAGGGAGAGGGGCCAGAGAGCAGCCCTGCATTTGGAGAAGGATTCTTTCAAAAATCATCTTGTCTGTTTGATTTGAGAATCAGTGCTAGTGCTGTAAGTCTAGCAAGTGCTGTAAGCCAGCCTTTAATCAGCCTGTGTGTATTTTAAGAATTGTGCCGACTCTTACAGCCTCAGAGATACCTGGAGATTTGGTCGAGAGAAGCCTGTCCTAGTTTCTCAGGGTAGCCAGCAAGGCGTGCTCGTTTCCCAATTTAATGTGAGCCTTCCCAGTCTTTATTTGTCAAGGCATTTTCTTTGAAAGATTGCAAAGCTCCAAGCAACCAGTTAATGCATGGGGGAAGAGAGAAGTCAGAGTGTAACATAGCAGTAATCCCTGCAATTAAAAGTATATTAATAACTGCACTTCAGCCGTGGATAGAGTACAGCAGGGTGGGGTTCTGGAAGGAGGGCCATCCTTTGGCAAGGGGATTCCAGCCCTGCTGCAGAGAGGGCAATTCACTTGTCTGTAGCTCTTTGGTTATAGATGTGCAGTGCTGGAGGCAGTGTGCAGCAGCCTGGCTCAGGACTGGCACAGTGTCCCTAGTGAAGACTAATCCTTACTACTTGTGGCAAGTAAATGTTGAGGTTTAGTCATTTGCCTGATATCTGTTAGGCTGAGGGTTTTGTTTGTGTCACACAGAGGGTGTGATGGAAACCATCCCAACTCTCCACACTGGGAAAAGGCAATATAAAAAGGTTGATGGATCTGTCCAGACAATCCTCTGGATCTTGAGCATGCCAGACAGGCATCCCAGAGCCAGGAAAGAAATGCTGGGCTTTTTCAGACCCTTCTTGAGCTCTGATTTGGAAGTGCATGTGCTCTGCTCACCGCGCACCCAGATCCCTGTGAAATGAGGTCTTGTCAAAGCAGGCACCAGGTTTCCAGCAGAATCACACTTGATAACCAGGCTCTTGGACATTATTGTTCCCAGCATCACACTACCACCAAAACATGCAAAAAGCATCTCTCAAGAGTAAAAACATTCCATTCTGGAAAAGCAGTTGAGAGCCATTCATTAGCTCTTTATTTTCACCAAAACTTAATTAGAATTTACAGCTACTTTATTTGGTTTTTTCTCCTGTCATCTGAAGTTACAAGCAAATTTTGGGAGTCTCTCCTACTATGATCTGTTCCCTGTTTGTAGGCATCCTCCTAGAAGTGTCCTTTCTCCATTTCCCACACTTGTACAGATGAAGTTGATACAAGACCTTCAAGATGTCTTCAGCAAGTCATCTCCTCCTAAAACAGGATCCACTCTTTTTATCGCCCGAGGCCAGGTCTTACTTATTATTTCTATTTCAGAGCACCTCAAGACACACATCAGGTTGATGAAACGACATAAAGCAAAGCTGGGGGCTGTGCCAAATAGTTCATAACCATGGAGGAAGACTTGACAAAGGAAGGGATGAATTGTTGGTAAAACGTGAGTGTGAGTGTTTGTCTCATTAAGTTTTGTACACCTAGCAGCAAAGAAGTTAAACAGTATTAATGAAAACAGAAGCAGTATGGGAAGAGGGCACTTCCTGAATTTAGAAATCAATCCAATGCTCTTTCACTGTTAGTTGGAGTTTATTATTTAAAAAAAAAAAAAAATCTACCTTTTTGATTTGGAGTCACCCAACAAAACTAATCCTTGGCTTGGATGGGTGTTTGACTTGAGTTCTGATGTTCTCTTTTTCTTCTTTTTAAACTAAAAAAACCTTAACTTTAAAAAAATTATACGGTATTTGCAGAATCAATAGAAAAGCTGACCCAGATAAAAGTGCGCAAAAATTGGTTTCATGCCCTAGAACTTTTCCTACATGCTTTTTGATGCAATGTATCTGATCCTTCAAAAAGAAGGTAACATACAGTGATCTCAGCAGCTTTGAAGAATTGTTCTGCGAGAATAACAAGGAACACTGGAGAAAGGGGTGTGCACTTATACGTTTTTTTCCCCTCATTAAATATACCATGAGACAGAAGAAATTTAACGTCATATTGCTGGTTATGTGGAAAGATAAAATAAATTTTGTATGAAATCTGATTTTATCCCATTTTTAAAAGGTGAAAGTGCATTTCTTCTGAACAGCTCATCACAGTAGGATATGAATTGCATGTTATCTTCCTTCATTCAAACCTGCTCCTACTGGAGTGAGTGGCAAAGGTGTATCCAAGTAGTAGTAGGGTTCTCTCTCAGAAATGTAATTATGTCCTAGATCCTGAATCAGACAGAAAGCTGTAAAAAATATCTACTGCTCCAGATGTTTTCCAGTAGAATCATGGAACGGTTTGGGTTGGAAGCAACCTTAAAGATCATCTAGTTCCAACCACCCTGCCATGGGCAGGGACACCTCCCACTAGACCAGGTTGCTCAGAGACCCATCCAACCTGCCTTGAATACTTCCAAGGATGGGGCATCCACAAGTTCTCTAGGCAACCTGTTTCAGTGCCTTGCCACCCTCACAGTAAAAATTTCTTCAGTATATCTAATCTAAACCCAATCTCTTTCAGTTTGAAGCCATTCCCCCTTGTCCTGTCACTACATGCCCTTCTAAATAGTCTCTCTCCATCTTTCTTGTAAGTTCCCTTCACGTACTGGAAGGCCGCAATTAGGTCACCCTGAAGCTTTCTCTTTTGTAGGCTGAACAATCCCAATTCACTCATCCTTTCCTTATAGGAGAGGTGCTCCATCCCTCTGATCATCTTTGTGGCCTCCTCTGGACTCACTCCAACAGGTCAATGTCCTTCCTGTGCTTGGGGACCCCAGAGATGGATGCAGCACTCCAGGTGGGATTTCATGAGTGCAGTAGAGGGGCAGAATCACCTCCCTTGACCTGCTGGTGATGCACGTTTGGCTTTCTGGGCTGCAACCTCACATTGCCAGCTCATGTCCAGTCTTTCATCCACCAGCACCCCCAAGTCCCTCTCAGCAGGGCTGCTCTTGATCAGTTCATCCCCCAGCCTGGACTGGAGGTTTCCCCAACCCAGGTGCAGCACCTTGCACTTGGACTTGTTAAACCTCATGAGATTCCAATTGGCCCACCTCTCAAACTAAGGAGGATCCAAATTTTAATTTGATTCCAATACAGAACTTAGATCTGCAGGAATCACACATTCAGTATCTGAACCTCTGTAGCTTTGGCTTTCAAAAACATCCCAGGCTGTTTAGGGCTGTGGACCAGGACACATAACAAATCAGTGTTCAATGCAGGCATCGGTGAAGTGAAGGTGATAAATCAATAGGAGGGATTTGTGGGACCAAAAGACTGGCAGGCTGTAGGAGAGTTTCATTCCATCCCTTTGTATTCTTGGCCTTAAAGTCTGGCTGGAGGGGAAGGATGGGCCCAGAGTTACTGATTCTGAATTGAATAAGCAGAGGCAGTGCCCAGGCTGTGCTGCCTGTCCCCAGGATAGGGAGGAAAGACCACAGAAACAACTGCTTTGTGGGGATTTCCACAAGCTCTCCCAGTCCTTGGGACTGAACCCTTTTTTTAAGTGCTTGGTGTGTGCAGACTTTTCCCTTTTGTCTCCATTTGCTGGAGCATGAGGGGACTGAAGAGACAGCACTGGGGCTGTGCAGGGTGGAGAAGTGCAGCAGGCAGGAATGTGCCGTGGAAGATGCTCCGGTCAAACTGGAGCTCCAGGAGTTTGCAGTGAGGAGAACAGCTGAAGCTCAGCACCAAGAAGGAACGTACAGCAACGTACAGGGGGCTCCAGGCAGCCTTTCCTATGGCCTGTTTGTGGCTCTGTGATTATGTGTAGCTGAAAATAGATCACCAGGCCCAAATATGTGGGGCTGCTGACCCAGGTGCATCTCACTGAACTTTCCAGATAAGTCACAGGAATGCTCTTACTAAAAGTAAGAGACTCAATAACATGTAACATTGCTGGTTTTCATGAGTGAATGAATCATAAATACAATTATTTGAGAGGAGCAAAGTGATTTCTTGTTTTATGTTTACACCCTGTGCTCATTTCTTTGTTTTACCCCTTTTATATTGATGGCTGCTGCGTTTGGCAGGAATTTGCAAACATGTTGGTGTTTACAGCCAAAAGTAGGAATGGTCTAAACAGCCAGAAAAGGGAAACCCCTTCCCCTTGTATTTATTTTTATGGCAGCAGAATATAGTCATTGTCTGGTCTTGATCAGTTCTGCTTTTTTCCCTTTAAGTTGTTGTTTTGTTTTTCTCTTCAGTTTGAGGGTGGAGAGAAACAAAAGAAGGAATGAATTAAGAGCAGGAGAAAGGAGTGACTGCTGTTGGGCTGTGTCATGTGGTGAGGAAATCAGGCTGAAACTGGAGAGACCAGGCCAAACCTAACAGTCGTACTGGGAGGCCTTGAATTGTGTCACTCTGACAGTGGATCTAAGCAGTGAAAATAGCTGGTGATGTTTCTGGCTGCAGTCCAGCGTCATCCATATGTGAAATTGTGCTGATGGGCTGCTGTTCACAACACTTTTCATACCTGCCTGCTTTTAGAGGCAGTCTCAAAGGATAAGCCCTGTCCTTTCCAAATTGGCACATGCATTTAGACCATGGGGACTGATGCAGGGTAGCTTATTTTTGTATTGCGTTCACTTCAGTTCTCTCTTTTGGTCTTTCCACTATAACACTGCTGTTGTTATGGGCCCAGGTATTTGGTGGGTAGAGGAAGGAGTGTGTGATTTCCTGCTGTGTCCTCAGTGTACAATTTACACCATGTCTCTCCAGCAAACTTGTCTGACACCTGGATGAATCTGAACACTGGGATTGCAACACTACAGGCCTGGGGAGGACTGGCTGGAAAGCTGCCCAGAGGAAAAGGATCTGGGGGTGGTGGTCATCAGCCAAGGAACATGAGCCAGTGTGTGTGTGCCCAAGTGGCCAAGAAGGCCAATGACATCCTGGACTGTATCAGAAATAGTGTGACCAATGGGACCAGGGCAGTGATTGTCCCCCTGATGAGGCTGCACCTCAAATCCGCTGCCCAGTTTTGGGCCCCTTGCAACAAGAAAGACATTGAGGTGCTGGAGTGTGTCCAGAGAAGGGCAATGGGGCTGGTGAAGGGTCAGGAGCACAAATCTTAAGAGGAACAGCTGAGGGAACTGTGGTTATTTAGTCTGGAGAAAAGGAGGCTCAGGAGAGACCTTTTCACTCTACAGCTAACTGAAAGGACATTGTAGCCAGGGGGTTGGTCTCTTCTCCCAGGTAACAAGTGACAGGACAAGAGGAAATGGCCTCAAGTTACACCAAGGGGACATATAGACTGGATATAAAAGATTTTTCACAGAAGAGGTGGTCAGACACTGGAACAGGCTGCCCAGGGAAGTGCTGGAGCAACCATCCCTGGAGATATTTAAAAGATGTGTAGATGTGGCACTTAGGGACATGGTTTAGTGGTGGACTTGGCAGTGCTGAGTTAAGGGTTGGACTCAATCGTAAAAGTTTTTTCCAAATGATTCTATGACTCTGTAAGAGGATATCCCGTGGTGTTGAAAATTAATTAGCAGGTTAACAGTCCATAGTTTGGTTGTTTAAAGTAAAATAAAAGTTATTGCTGTACGTATGTTGGGCAGCAAAAGTGTCCAACAACAGTGCAGCAATCACTGTGTTGGAAAACAGTTACCAATCATGGTTCTGGCAGAGGAGGCTCTGACAAGTGTTTTCCAACACATTTATTACTATGAGCGAGTAGGTAAATAACCAGAGGGTGAGTCTGAAATGCAGGGTTTAAGAGAAATGTGAAATAGTTTAACCTTACTAAAGGCCAAATAAATTAATAATGAACTTCCTGTTTGCCAGAAACCTACAGGACATCACTATCTCTCTCTGATGGAATTTTTTTGTGTGGTCAGATATTCTTTTTCTAAACCCCTTGCTGTCAATTTAAAATAGTATATGAGACTGAGATTTCTCACCCTTCAAGAAAACACTTTGATTTGTTGAAGGAAGCTAGGAACAGTTAAGGAGATAGGAAAAAAAGTAATATACCTTTCTCTGCTGACATCTGCAACTGGGGGATGTGTTGAAAAGTAAATATAATCCGCTTGGAGCAATGCTTTCCCATTCTCTTTCATTCTGGTTCAGTGCTCTGGTTCCCCACAAACTAGACTTAAAAATGGAAAGTGAGGTGCAGAAGGGCTGCGGGACCTCAGTGAAGATGTGGGGGATCATCTGCCTGTGCTGGGCCATGGAGTCAATGTTGTTGTTTGTTTGCATATGTTTTAAGAGAGCACTGAGACGAGAAGTGGCAGAGACACTGTCCATCTGTCCGTCCAGTGCCAGAGGAGTCAGGCCAGGACCCTCGCCAGCCCCTGTTTCACTTTGCAGCTGAAGCCAACTGCAGCTGCTGTTGGCAGCCAAACCACTTCTTCTTACTAGCTTCAAGCAAAACTGTGGATGGGCACATCCTGGCCCTGAGCAGCCTGTGGCCGAGAGGCTGGAGCAATCCCCTGGGGGTGCCAGTCAGGCAAAGGTGGTCTTGATAGCTGCCTAGGCTTCCAACATGCTTTCTGAAATCTTCTAAAGCTCTAAGAGAGGGAGAGTAGATTCTATGACAGTGCTGAACACTGAAAATGGGGCTAAACCCATGAAGTTTTTTCCTTTTTTTTTAAGACAGGTTATTTGGTTTTGCCTCTTATGTACTCTTATTTTGCTATTACTTGCTATTTGCATACTTATATGCTTCTGAATATTTCCAAAAGCAGATGGCAATATTAAGAAGGCATTGCAAGAGGAGTTTGTTCAGTTCCTGTAGATAATAGAAGTTTACCTGGAGGAAGGAAAGGCTGGGGATCTGCAGCATGGTGTAGCCTTGGAATGGCTCTATGGGACAGCTTCTGCTCACAGATACCTACAAATGGTGCACTGTGGATAAAGGGCTTTAGAGAGTGATTGTCACCCTGCTGAGGTGGAGAAGACAGCCCTTGGTAGGAGCCTCCTACTCTGTGTTTTCCAGGTCAGTGCCAGTGGTTTTCCTGGGGAGCTCAGGGGTTGCCAGCAGCAGCTGCTGTGGTGTGGAAATACCTATCTCCGTTTCAGTTTCGTTCAAAAGGCTGGAGAAAGGCAGATGAATGCCGAGTGGCACAGGGATAAGACTGCTGGGGATGGAGAGGTGGGAGGGATATCCCATGGCCTGTCTGAGCATCGCTATCTGCACAGTGTGTGTACACTTATGCGGAGACCTTGGAGCACTGAAGGGTTTTTAGTGGCTTTTTCAGTGCATACTTAGGTGTTTGGTGGGAACTTTCAATTGTATTTTAAGTGTCTGTTGTAGGGATGGGGGCAGGGATGGGTTAATTTTATTAGCTTTGTGAAAAGGTGTTGAAGGTAAGGATGCTCATGAGCATGATGCTCCATTGCTCTGCAGTCTGCCAGGTTTGATGAATGTTTAATGAGGACTGGACCAGCAGCCGGGAGCTGTTGGGGCTCTTGGGATTCATTGAGATAACTGGGATTTTCAGCATGTGGAGACAGACGACTTTCAGGAACGTTTGTATCTGCTAATCATGCTGTAATAACAGTCTGCAATCGAGAGGCTGCAAACCCCCCATTTCCAACGCAGCTGTGCATATTTAATTCGATAGAAAGCATTTATAGTCTGCTGTTAGAAGTAATTCAGATCACTAAGGTGGTAATTTTGATCATGGTAGTTTTTAGGGAACTAGAGGTATAAGCCGCACTGAAAAGTTAATAAATGCCTGGTACGATACAAACGTTGTGGGGTGAAGAGCAGGGACAGGGTGGGTGTCTGCCAGTGCCTCACTCTGCATCCTGGCCTTGGCTATTCCTGCCTCGCTGAGCCAGCAGCAGAGGAAAGCAACAAACCTGGGCCCACCAGGTTGATGAAGGAAATTTATCCTGACCTATTGCCTGTACTACAAATTTTGGGCATTGGGGCAGTCAGGCCATGGTGATGGGTCTCCAGCACACCAGCAGTGCTGGGGGAAGCACCAAAGCCTGGTGGGGCCATGGAGGGTTGGCATGACCTGCTCCATGGCTGTGCTTTCAGTTGACCCCAGAGTTTAAACCACCAAGCTGGCATCTTTCAGGAAAAGAGGACAGGAGGAGTGTGGGTTTATTTTCCATCTCAAGCACAGCTGAGGAAAGCAGGTGCTTTCAGGACTCCCAACTCTGTTTCTCTCTGTAAAATGTTCTTGTGCAAAATTGATCATTTCTGTAGGTTGAGAGAGTCTCTAAGGAACTTTTCTGTCAAGCAATCTAAAAAGTACTATTATTTCTCTTCCTTGCTGTAACAGCAGCTCAAGATTTACATTTTAGCTCACTAGAGTTATCTCAACAATCTCATTTTTTGTGAGAAATTTCATGGTGAACAGAGCAAACTAATCCCATTTTCAGGTGGTTAGTGCTGTAGTGTCTGGGTTGCAGAAACCATGTGGAGTGCTGGTGTTTATCAAGTATTTTAAAAGCCTTTTTGTTTATTTTGTTTTGTTTTGCTATGAGATGTTACATTTTTTGGAAAGCATCTAGAATAATGAAGCAGCTGGTGGCTGAGCCTCCTGAGCAGTGTGCAGAGAATGAAGGATGGCTGGGGTAGCTGGAATCATTCACTGCGTGCTGTGGACCACATAAACACACAAACAGGCAATTCCTGTGAACCAGGAGGTGGGTGGTAACTCACAAACCACCATTACCTGTTCTGTGTGTGTGCTCACCGTGACACCACATGGGAGCCAGCAGATACAGATCTCCCCAGGTCTTGTTCATTACTGTGAGGTGTTTGTGTGGCACAGCTGGTGTAGGTGAGATCATGATGCCTGCATGAATGCCCTCCTGTGCAGTATGGAGGTCTGAATTTGCCTGATCCCAGCATTGTGATGCTCTCATGTCAAGGAGAGCTGCTTCTCCTGCCTTGTGCTGGCTTGGAATAAGCATGCCCTCAACGGGAGGCTGCTCAAGAGCTGCCCATGCAGGGATGCTCAAGACAAACAAACTCAGGCAAGGTTTTTGTCAGTGACTACCTAACTGTTGAAAAAAATTCGATGTTTCTATATGAAACGTGTTTGTGACTCTGTCATGGCACTGTTGCCTAACTGCAGGCATTCAAAAGCAGTAGCAGATCTCCCAGAACCGTGAAATAGCTTGAAATATCTGAAATATATATGTATATATATTTATATACATATATTATGAACTTGTTTCTGAGCTGTTATATTAAACCCAAATCATGTTCTCATAGCCACAAGGGGCAGAAACTTTTTGCATACTTTCTGAAGAGGATTGTGCGGTACGAGTACAACAGCAAGGGATTGGATTTAATAACCCTGGAGATTTCTTTCTCCTTTATGTTTCCAAAAGTGGAGATCCTTGCAGAAGCTGCACCAGCTGGGTCTTTAGGAAAAGCACTAAAATTTGTGAGGCTCATTATACAGACCTAAGAAGCAACAGCTCCATACATACATATTTATTTTAATTAACTTTCTAAGCAGAAGTTTGAGATCAGGGGAAGGATAGGGATCTGTGTTTCACTGTAGGTGATTTTGTCATTCTTTGAAAGTGTTTTACTCATAGAGGTGGTTTTAATTCTGTTGGCAGGTTGTAGGATCACTTCTGTGTGTTGGACACAGCACTGAAAAAGCAGAGTTTCAGATAGTGGTTTTGCTATAAAGATAACCAGACTAAGCCCATTAAATACAGAAACAGCTTCATGCTGACAGCCTTCCATGTGAGAATGGAGAATTTGACCCAAAAGAAGGAGCAAGAGCAGCAGAAAGTTGCCTGCTGAGTCCAAAAGCAGTGGAGGTGTAAAGAGCACAAAATCTACAGCTATCCCTTGTGTTTATTTCTCTTTTACAATTCAGTGAAAGTAGCAAATTTTTGCCTTACTCTGAGACAGAGGAAAGCGGGAAGCAGCTTCCCTTTTATCTATGAATAAACATGCAGCTTTTTCTAGTCTAAGCTCTTAAAAAATGGTTATGGTTGTGTAATAGCTTCTGGGTTCCCAGCTCCTCCAGCAGCCAATATACTCTATCAGGAAATCAAGTCATATCTTCCTTTGAAAAGAGCCAAGAAATACCAACCTAACTTGCTGGGAAGGAGCAAAAGACTCCAAGTGATTTCTTTCGGGTTTGCCAGCTGACTTTCCTCTGGCCAGATAACAGAGCCTGGAGCTTGAAACTCAAATACTGAGTTTTAAAAGCTTGAACTGAAAATGCAGGTTGTGCTCACGGTGCTGCTGAAGCCATCAGTAAGCTTCTACCTCTTTTCTTGGGGGGCTAGCAAGGTGGTTTTCTGCTTGTGTTTCTTTTACTCAGAGCAGTCCCATGACCATTTTGTTATCTCTTTACCTGTTCTTGCAGACCTTCAGGCACAGTGTTTTTCAGGTGTGTATACAGCCACTGCCAAAGGGGAATTTTTTTCTGTCAGTTCTGCTCTTGCAGCTGCTGAAGCTAAACCTGTTGTTTCAGGAGGGGGGAAAAAAAGCAAAAATGAGGAAAGCCAACTTTAGCTTTGGGACAGAGCAGGTGAGTCCCTTTAAGGAGGAGAAGGACAGTTTTGATGGCATTTCCCAATAGCCAAAGAGTTTGTTCTGGTACGTGTCAGCTGCAGCAGATGTTTTGTGGGTATTTCCAATGCAAACCGCAGCGATATCTCAGGACATCAGCGTGTGAGTGCTCTCCACTGTCTGCTTGGCCTAAGAAATGTGGATGTTTTTTTTCCCCAAGAGGGCCCCAAGGTTCATCATGTTACTGTAAAAGGGCTGGAGGACCAAATCTTTGAAATTCTGCTTGTCAGTGGTGGTTAGTGGGAAAGGGAATTGCTGGAATTCCTGTCAGTCGGCATTCCCGGCTACTGGTGAAAAAGCTAAATCGTCAGTCACACAGTGGAAGGGATGGATGCTGTTTTCTCCTCTTTTACTTTTCTTCTTGACTTATTTTCCCTCTTTTGTAGGTGTCAGAAGTACTGCTCACCTTTAGAGAAGCATTAAGAACTGAGACTCCCAGGATGTAAGAAATCCAGTGCTGTGAGTGAGTAGCTTTTTTTTTCTGTTTTCCTTTACATGGGAAATCCAAGCTTGCCCAAACAGAAGGAGAATATTTAAATTTTTTTTTTTACTTTTAAAGACACTTCAAGAAATGTTTACAGCAAGCAAATCCAGTCTTTTGGAACCAGTTGAGTGCCTTTGGCACCTCTTTGAAACCCACAAAATAAAGTCAGCATTGTACTACCACATAGGCTGAATAGTTATCTTACTGCAGATATGAACCACATGAATGCATTTAAATGAGAATATGGTCAGCAGAATGGACCATTAGCACCATCTGAACCTTGTTTGTTGCTTCCAAGCCATTGATAGACACAATCTTGGTGAAGATTTGAGGCTAGATGCTTGTCTGTTTTGAAAGTGAAGAAGAGCACAGATTGGCTGTGAGGTTGTTTCTGTGTATGTGTGCACCACACCCCAGCCCTGTCATCAAAATGGAAAACTATCCAATATTTGGTTCTTTCCTGATGTGATAAAATAGCTTCAAAGGAAGTTTTATACCACAGGAGACACCTGCACACTTGCTCCAAAGCAGCTTGGCCAGGAGCTTTTACATATATATAAACCACCACCCCCATCCCCAAAAAAGTGTATATGTAAGGAGCATCTGCACTAGGAGCTTTTTCTGAGCATTGCTAAAGGGTTTGAGCTGTGGTTTCCCATCAGCTGTGGCTTGTTTGCAGTTCTCCAGGTGGACCAGTCAGGGCTGCATTAGACCCAGCTCAGGAAGCCCCGGCTGGAGTTCCTGATTGTGTGCCTGGTGCGGTGTGGGCTCCTGGGGCAGCTTCTCTGGTCTGGTGTGAGGCTGAATAACAGGGCAGAGATTTGGACTGAGGGTTCGGATGCTATTTTTCTGGGCTTCATTGCTTTCTGTAAGTAAATTACTTTTTTGTAAGTAAATTTTCTTAATAGAGGGGTTGAATAAGGGGATTTTTTTGAGGTTTTTAAAATCAGATCAACTCCCGTCCCGTTTTTACCCTGTTCTGTGGTGATGGAAATTTATGGTTACTTGGAAATCAGTGGAGTTTTGTTTCCATTTTTATATCAGTGGCTTTCAGCCTGTGTTCTGTTACAACAACAAAATCTATTTGGGTTAGAGCAGAATAAAACCCCAAATTGAAATCAGCCTGAAAAAAGAAAGGGCTGTGTTTTGTTAACAGAAGAGAAACTGAGTCCATCCATGTTTGGTAAAGACATGGTAAAAATTTCTTGATAAACACCTACCAAGCATTCAGAAATTGATAAGCAAAAAGAAAAAAAAATCCTACTTTCAGCCTTTTGTGAAGGATCCCAGCAATCAGTGCAGTTACTGGGAGAAAAGGGATGCAAAGTGATGGCCATGTTTTGTATTGATTATCCCTCAGAAAGGTGGTCCGTGGTTTATATTCTTTCTTTGAATCACATGTGTTTTGTCCTTACTCCTTAGTGACTGTCACACAAGACCTGCTAGTTGAGCTGTGGGGTTTATTTTTTGTCAGTCACTTACAAAGCATTGCACAGGATGGGTGGGCTCTGGCCTGTTTTATACAGATGTGTTGGCTTCAGAGAGATGGGAAGAGTAGACAATGCTGATTTAAGTGGAGAAAATTCAGCAGAAAGATGCCATGTGTACATATTGTGTCTCTCAAAGTATATCCATACGCGAGAAGTGCTTTTTGCTCATCTCAAAAATAAAATTTTCTTGTTTTTCTGTTAGGTAGGCAGTGTTGAAATTTGGGAAGCATTTCTATGCTCCTAATGAATCTATATCCTAATGCACCCCTGTGGTGGTTGCTTCCACAAAGGGAATAAATGTAGGGATCTTCTCCTGCCCTTCAGAGGAGGTTTGCCAGTCCAAGGTAAATGTTGTCTGTGCTGTTAAGTCAAAGCAAAGCAGCAATGCTGAGGGAGGCATGTAGTCCTCATGCCTCTGATATATGATAGCTGTGTTAAGAGGATGAGAGAGAAAACAAGAGCAGCCTGCTTGGATGCTGCCCAGGTAACTGGTGTATGATCTCGGATGGCTCTGAAATTATTGCAGCAAGATGTAGTTGCAGCTCAGGAATGAAAGGAGACTTTTAAGTTCTGTTTACCTGTCTCCTCCCACTCTGGCTGCATGACAGAAGCCTGAGTGAGGAACTGGGGAGCATGAGATGGCTGCAGCAGAGCAGTGCTGACTGAGAAGCTATGTCCTGCTCAGAAGCTCAAGGAGAAACCAGAGCTGGAAGAACTCAGTTCCTCTACATCTGCTCTCTGCGTCTTCTTGCAGTATTGCCCTGCAGAATGTTTCAGGGTCAGGTGTTCAGTGAGAGATTTGATGGAGAGAAAGGAAAGGAGGCTTCTTTGCCATCTCCTTTTTTCTGTTTGCCTGCTGGCACCCAAAGGTGGAGGTTGCCAGCAGCTGCTCCCAAGAGGTGCCGTCCCCTGCAACAGATGGCAGTGTGGGATGCAGCAGGGGCTTAGGGTGGCCTTGACTGACACCCATTTAAAGGGGACCTAAACCAAGAGCTGACATGCTGTATTGCGAGCAGTCAGAGATGGGAAGTCAGAGTTTGGGAAACTCCTACCACTTCTTGGTGGGCTTGGGACACCGATGAGCAAGCTGTGAGTGGTGGTTGCTTCATCTGTTAGGGTTTAATTCACCTTCCCTTTGTAAGGCAGCATCTCTGTTCGGCTATTTAAGAGCAATACCCCCTTTTTTTGTGGGCAGGATTCCCCTGATGGAGTTTTGTTCTCAGAGCAGAACAAGGCAGAGCCATCTGTTGGTGGAGGACCAAGCCCTGGGAGGATGCAAGGGAAGGTTCCCTTCAGGTTGTATGTGCTCAGGGAGAAGCATCCCCAGCTCTAGCATGGTGGTGTGGTGGCTCTCTGACCCCAGGTCTCTGTGCCAGGACAACTTGGTGAGGTAGCTGCAGATCAGGGAATACCCAGGGCAGGCTGCAGCACTGAACTGCAGAGGCACAGCAGGTCTGGCGGCAGAGCAGGCAGGATAGAGAAGCACTTTTATATATTGGAAAAACTTGGGGAAAAGTAAGTTGGAAAAATTAACTCATTTATGTCAAGGCTTTTGGATTTATAACTGTAAAACAGGCAGTTGTTGCAGCGAATTGATCTTTATCAGATAAGATTTAGATGGGTTTGGGGTTATTTTTATTACTTGGAGCTTAAGCAGTGAATTCGCAAACATTTTCTGCAAACAAGATGACAGCAGTGTATCCTAGGAGTGCCAGCACTGCACACAGAAACAGCTTTGCAGAATGCAGCAGTGACACTGCCTCCTTGCTCTTACATGGGGCGAGGGATTGGGCAGCAGCTGCAGCAGCCCTCGAAGGCTGAAACCATCACTTGTACTTGACACCAGAAAAGCCACCACTCCAAACAGTGCACTCCCCACAAAATCCATGCACATTCTCCCCGTGCTCAATCAGCTGACTGTCTGGAAATGTTGGACAGACTTTGTTTTATTTTTGAAAAGGGAGGGGAAATACTGTTACAACTGAAGAATAGAGATGTGGAGGAGAAGTTGGTTGGAGAGCAGGAGAAACTTAGTCAGGAGAAATGAGGCTTAGCCAAAAGCCTCCATTTCAGTTCCCAGCTGAGAAGGGAGGAGGAGATTTCTTCCATGTAACTGCAAAGTTGCAGTTCATATCTCAGCTGAGGGGAGGAAAGAGGGCAGGTTTTCCCAACAGCTGAGTGCTGCCCAGGTTTTGGTGAGAACAGGGTTGCTGCTGCCTGACTCATGCAGCCCCAGTGTGGTGGTCCTTTGGGACCTTACTCTGTAGGCAGGAGCTGATGGTGCCTGAAGAGGCAAAAGCAGATTTTGTTCTGTTCTTTTTATTTTTGATAGTGTCTCTTCTTCCTTTTCCATTAAGTATGATGTCACAAATGACATCAGTCCAATAACTGCTTGTGGTTGTCATAGTCACAGCCTGTGACACCCAAACAAAGCAGCAGGAAAGTGAAGCTGGCATACAAATGCTGTAATATTAATCACATTCCTTTTGGTTAATAGCTACGTGGTTAGGTATTTATTTTCCATTGGAAAAAAAGAGGAAGGGGACTTAAAAGCAAAAATTGAGTCATTTGGGGGAGGAAGGTGGTTCCCAACTCCATTGGAGCAACACAGCTCAGATGGAGTATTGCCTCCCAGTATTCTTCCCCTAAGCCAACATTTCTCTGGACCTCAACTACTCAGCTCTCTCCTGCAGCTCTTCCCATCATTGCAGACCACATGGTGATGGTCCAACATGAAAAGGCAATGGGAGACATTCCACTGCCTCTTAACACAAGCTGTGTCCCCAGGGCAAAGCCTCCCAAGGACTGGCAGCGAGTGCCAGCAGGAGCCCCAGGTCAGCCGGCTTTGGCTGCTGGATGGCTGAGGTTGCCATTCTTGTGGTGCATGGACAAAGTGTAGAAAGGTTTTTTCTTCATCCGCAGGGTTTAGATGCGATGGGGGAGTGGTGGTTTGGGGTTCTTTGTTCTGTTTTGGGTTTTGAAATCTGTAAAATAAGCTATTCTGGGTGAGCAGCAGAGCTTGTTTGCCCTTGCAAGGTTTAATCTCCACTCCTTTGGAGTTGTGCACAGTTGGCCTGATGGTAGGAAGGTGCTTGCTGCAAGAAATAATTCCAATAATGAAATTAAAAAATTTTTACAGAAATAGATCTGGTACAAGCGCTTCATTTGCAAGACAAGCACTAGAGGCTTGCTGAACAGGAGCCACCTAAGACCCTTGCTGTTGTGGGAATGTGGGGAGCCACCATCCATGATGCCCTCACCGAAGTGCCATCCGCCTCTGTGCCCCTACAGGAATGTACTGACCCAGAGTGTTCCAGCACGGCTTCCCCAAAATATTTGGGCATGTGATTCGTGGGATGAGCCCGGATAACCACCTAGCCCTGCCTGAGCTGGGAGCAGGCAGCAAGCACGCAGAGAGCAGAGTGTGGCAGGGAGCACTGACCGGCTTGGGGGCTCTGGATTCCGGCATTCAGTGTCGTGGCTCCTGCC